CATGCATTTTACTTTCGCTCCTTTAGGTGTGCACTTGGGAATTCCGTTACGACCGAAGGCTTTTGTTGCTCAGGAGTGTGGAAAAGTTCGTACCAGGACAGGATTGATATCCAGTACGCTTCAAAATGTCTGGCCTCGAGTATGTCTAGGCCAACCCAACAATCTCTCAAATGTCTGAAACACCTCATATTGTATTTGGCAGGAACAGCGAACCGCTCAACACTTTTGCCGTACAGTATGAAAGGAAGACGACTTATCACGATGTTGAATGGACAGGAGGACAATGACGAAATCCCTCCAGACGAATGTCATGTCGTGGAAGCTTATTCAGACAGTGATTGGGGAAGTCTGAAAACACCAGAGAGAGCCAGAAGGAAGTCAACGTCATCTGGAATCATTGTTCTGAATGGTATTCAAGTACTAAGTTTCTCAAGGACCCAGAAGGCGACGGCATCATCAAGTTGCGAAGCAGAATTGTACGCATTAAGTGGAACATGGTCGGAAGCGATCTTGATTGGACGTTTGTTTGAATTTCTGACAAGAGAGCATGTGAGGACTGAGATTCGTTGCGACAGTTCGTCAGCTCGACAGTGGAGCCAACGACGTGGAATTGGTCGACTGAAGCATGTTGATGTACGTCTATGTCAAGTACAGGATTGGATCAGAGAGAGTGTCATCAGTATCGGAACAGTGAAGACAGTATTGAATGTTGCTGATCTGAACACGAAGAAGTTGACGTATGCCAGGAGAGCATTTCTCATGTATTTTCTGTCTCAGGTAGAGTACTCCGAAGGAGAAGAACTCGAACGCACAGGAGCAGACGAGTATGAAAAGCACCAGCAGGAAAAGAAGCTGAAAGAGTATGTGAGCAGCGGGCAGGTAAAGGATCTGATTAGGTTGATTCAGGTATTCAGCGTGATTACACCCGCAGCTAGCTTTTGGATCGAGCAGGAAGAAGTTTATCCGCAGCAGAGTCCAGAAGGAACTGAAGCCATGGATGATGGAAAGTACTCAAGGAATGAAGTGGCAATGGTTGTCACGGTCCTACTGCTGATCATCCCGTATGTATGGATGATAGGAAGGAAAGTTCACAGCGAGTGGACAAGGATCATGTTGGTTGGAAAGGTAAGGATCAACAGCAGTAGCAGGAACTATATTTTCCATCGAACTACGTGTTCGTATGTCCAAGGAACAGCGAGGAATGGATATTTTATCCACTTGGACTATGACACTGCCGTGGAACAAGGCTATAGGCCATGCTGTCGTTGTTTCCCGGAAGCCAAGCGATCCGCCCAGTATGAAGGTGAAGGAGAAGGATGGGAACGAGTATCAGACAGTAGCGTGAGAAGCACAGAGAATCCCGACATAGGAGGATGCCCACAGAAGTGCATATGGTGCAAGGTCAACATTTGTACCCGGAAGAAAAAGGACCACGTACACTGCTCGTGCACGGTATGTATCCAGAAGTATGCGGAGGAACTGTGGCGTGCTCAATATGATAAGGAACCAGAACCAGAGAGCAGCACAACACCAGAGTTGGTGAGTATCCCTCCAGAACCGCGCGACTTGTATCACAAAGGAACTGGAAAGAACCAGAGTGAACGCGGTGGTAAAGGAGCCAAGCGTGGCAAAGCTATGATGGAAGCTGTATCGCAAGAGCAGAACCAAGAAGTGGTTCAAGGAAACAGTTTCACTCCGAGTACCTACGAGGACTATGTTTCACCAGAGGAGATGGAACCCAGAATGAACAGAACACGGAGGAGCGACGTAGAGCCTGGAACGCCGGACAGTACGGAGGAACGTACTGAAGGACCAGTAGCCTTTGGAGACTGGTAAAGCATATCCGGAAAAGGAAAGACATGTGAAGCCTACACCGTGGAGACTGTGAAGAAGCAGCAGTGAGTGTAAGCTTGAAGAAAAGAGTTTCACCAAGAACAATACTTTTGAAGGAAAATGATCACCCCTGCGGAAGAGTAACGAAATGTGGTTGCTCGAATTTGAAATGGACGAGGTATTCGTTACTGTACGAATCGGATGGAAAGGCCTTTTGGACAAATCCCTTAATTGGGGGAATGGAAAAAGGCGGGTCATTGCATCAATTGTTTAATCCGTTTGCAGTGGCAAAGCCGGCAACGGATGGGAGGTGCCCGCAAAGGCCTAAGTGCTTTTGAACAGTACAGCACAAATACCTCGAGGCAGGGTGTTAAGATTTGTACATGGGA